CAGTCGTGTCTGACTCTTTATGACCCCATGGACTGCAGAACACCAGGCTTCCCTGTCCATCACCAACTCCCGGAACTTACTCAAACTCACGTCCATCCAGCCGGTGATGACATCCAACCACCTCATCCTCGGTCGTCCCCTCCTTCTCCCGCCTTCAGTCGTTCCCAGTATCAGGGTCTTTTCCAATGAGTCAGCTCTTCGCACCAGGTGGCCAAAGTATTGGGGTTTCAGCTTCAGCATCAGTCCTTCCAATGAATATTCAGGACTGATTTCCTTTAGGATGGACTGGTTGGATCTCCTTGCAGTCCAAGGGACTCTCAAGAGTCTTCTCCAACACCACAGTTCAAAAGCATCAATTCTTCAGCACTCAGCTTTCTTTATAGTCCAAGTCTCACATCCATGCATGACTACTGGAAAAACCATACCTTTGACTAGACAGACCTTTGTCGGCAAAGTAATGTCTCTGCTTTTTAATATGCTGTCTAGGTTGGTCATAGCTTTTCTTCCAAGGAGCAAACGTCTTTTCATTTCACGGCTGCAGTCACCATCTGCAGTGATTTGGGGGGCCCCCAAAATAAAGTCTGTCACTGTTTCCACTGTTTCCCCATCTATTTGCCAGGAAGTGATGGGACCGGATGCCATGATCTTTGTCTATTGAATGTTGAGTTTTAAGCCAGCTTTTCCACTCTCCTCTTTCACCTTCATCAAGAGGCTCTTTAGTTCCTCTACGTTTTCTGCCGCTAGAGTGGTATCCCCTGCCTATCTGAGGTTATTGCTATTTCTCCTGGCAATCTTGATTTTGGCCTGTGATTCATCCAGCCCAGCATTTCGCATGATGTATTCTGATTATTTAATCAGGGTGACAAAATACAGCCTTGATGTACTCCTTTCCCAATTTTGAACCAGTCCATTGTTCCATGTTTGGTTCTAACTGTTGCTTCTTGCCCCGCATACAGGTTTCTCAGGAGACAGGTAAATTGGTCTGGTACTCCCATCTCAGATGATAGAGAATCTGACTGCAATGCAGGAAACATGAGTTCTGGTCCCTGGGTCAGAAAGATCCCCTGGAGAAGGGGAATGGCTTCTCGCTTCAGTATTCTTGCCTGGAGAAACCCATAAACAGAGGAACCTGGTGGGTTGCAGTCCATGGGTTTGCCAAGAGTCGCACACGACTGAGCAACTAATACTTTCACTTTCACTTACTAGCATGTGAAATGAGCACAGTTCTATGGTAGTTTGAACATTCTTTGGCATTACCCTTCTTTGCGATTGGACCCCATGAACAGGATAGAAATGTAACAGATTTCTATATAATGCTTTTGTACTCTGCAACTTTACTGAATTGATTTATGAATTCTGGTAGATTTCAGGTGGCATCCTTAGGATTTCCAATGTATAGTAACATGTCATCTGCAAACAGTGACAGTTTTAATTTTCCTTTTCCATTTTGGATTCCCTTTGTTTCTTTTTCTTCTCTGATTGCCATCTCATAATGTACTTTCTACAACTTATTAAATAATATGGGTTTATTGAAATTAATTTACACACAAAATCTAAGTGCCTGCAAACATTCTATTATGGAACCACCACTACAATCAACATCAAAAAATATTTTCATCAGCTACAAAATTGTTTCATGCTCTTTGGTAGTTTAACCCCTAATCTCAAGCCCGAGACCCTGGCGATCCCCAGTCTGTTTTCTTGTGTCTACAGTTTGGCCTCCTCAAGACTGTGAAGTAAATGGGATCGGGCAGTATGGAGATTTATCCATTTGGATTCCTCAGAGAAAAGAACATATAGGTGACTTCTGGATGTGCAATGTACATTTATGTCACCCGAGTATAGTTACATGGGTTGATTGGTTCATAATCATTTGTGATACTGAGGGCTTACACTCTCCACAACTTGTATATGTATAGTCTGTTTAATTCATATTTAATTCAATGTAATTAACCTTTTATGTTTGGAAGTGCTATTTTATGAAAAAGCAATAGTAAATCCTTTTTAAAAAGTGAATCATCATTGTAAAACTCAGGCTGGCAGTTACCTCAAGAGGACTAGGGAGGAAGAAGTGATTGGCTTGGAACAAAAGGTGGGTTGAAAACTACAGGTCTGCTCTTCATCTGCATCTGAGCAGTACTTACCAGGCCTTCAATATTGCACAAGCAGAAAAATCTGGCAGCCCCAGTGTGCCCGGCCGGATCTGGCCAATGCAGGTGAGTTACCCCACATTAAGTCAGCTGAGTAGCAGCCTTTACTGCATCTGCAAGCATAACCCACTGTTACCACGCAAAGGAAAATACAAGCCAACTGCAGGATTAGGACTTGGACATTTTGGGGCAAGATTGCTGTGCTCACCACCCCCAGCTCCCTCTTCAGGACTCACCTACTCTACCTTCTTTGTTTGTGCCAATCTCCCTCAAGAGTCCAGAGAGAGAGGTAGACCTGGGACTGGTGCTGGTGGGGTGGGGGTGTGATGGGGAGGGAGCATCTTCCCAGGTGTCGGACAGGCAGCAGAACCAGGCAGGATAGGGCCTAGGGCTCTCCAAAGCAGCTGTCACTGTCTCCCAGGCTGGAGAAGAGGCATGAGGGGGAAAGGCAACAGGGGTGCACTGAATGAGGCCGAGTTTCTGCATTCCTCCTACCCCCTGGGGCCAGATAGATTTCTTTAACCTATGCCTCAGGCCCTGCCACAGATTTCCCACTGGAAGTGGAAGGCTTGGGGCTGAGCCAAGGCCTGTGATGTCTATGTTTCCAGCAACATTATAGTGAGGTAGTTGGTCCGAACTGTGTGCTCAGAGGAGGGAAGGGAGCCTGGTAAAAAGTGAACGAGGGGTTGTGTTCACACCCTCACACCTCTACTTCTATGAGTTTCTCTACTTCCTCACCCTGGTGACCAAAGTCCCCGGCCCCTCTCTGCCCAAGGGTGGTGCTGATGCTGGTGCTGGACTTCTCCCCGGGCACATCTTACCTACATGTCTCGGTGGGCAGAGACCTCTCAGCTGGACGGTCTCTGCCAAATTTACTCACTCAGACAACAGCGAGATGGGCTACACCATCAGGCAATGACCACTGGATCAGCTGTAGACTAAGTGATCAAGCCCACCTGCTCCGGGGAGGGGACTGAGTGGAAGGAGTAAGTCCCATGCATGTTCTTTTCTGACCCTGAGGTCTCTGAGGGTCCCAACCCTCGTGCTCTGTCCACCTGACCTCATGCCATGAGCCCCGGAAGGAAGTCACCATGAGAGCATGGGGGAAGGGCGGACCCAAGTGCTCCCCATTGCTCAGGTGCAGTCACCCCTAACTCCCCACAAGTAACCCAGGTTGGGGGGGTTCTCCTGTTTCTAAGATGGGCAGCCATATCCCATGTACCCTTCCCATTTTTACTCATCCACACCCTCAGCAGTTGGCAGACATCACAGAATTGCAAGGTAGGATCCAGTGCCTCCTCCAGCGACTCCAACATTTTGAGAGGTCCTGTCCTGAGGTTTGGTGAACTGCATCCTCTCCTTCTGTTTTGGTAATGTGACAACATCCCTTGAATAAAGGAGATCCGACCCTTGCTTTGGCTCACTCAATGCCTTACCGAATCTGGACCAGTCTCTTACTTTCATTACTGCCTGAATCACAATCTTTCTGCCTCAAGGGGCATTATCCCTGATGACTTTTATTCACACAGAGAGATGCCTAGGCACAAGCTTTGAATGTGCTACCCACCATCATACCCTCTCTTGTGAAATAAAATCATGGTCTTTCAGGAAGGGAGTCAGGCAGAACCTACCCTCACGTCACTCAAATACAAATGTGTCCCTCTGAGTCACAGGCTGACACAGCCCTGGGGTCTTGGCTAAAAGAAGGAAGTCCTCCCCAAACTTCAGGGTGGGGGGGGGAATTGGACATAGATTTCAGACTCTGTCTTGGGTGCCCTAACAAGTAGTCTGGGAGACTGAGCTGGGACACTCCGGGAAATAGCCTTTGCAGGAAAATCTATGTCATGGGGCTGATGGAACAGTATTTGATGGAGACCCTGTAAGAACACAGACTTACCAACCATACTTGTCATAGAGTCTGACAGGCCCCTTTCCACTCAAGGGCAGAGAGACATCCAGGCTACAGGAGTGTAGGCTGGTCAGCTGGCTAGGGCAGGGAGGATATGAAAGCTCCAAGGACTGGACCGACCATCTCTAGCTGTCAGGGTGCACTCTGCCCCAGATTGGCACCAGATGCCTCTCCTGACTTCCAGCTCAGCAACTAACCTGAGCTTTTCTCCTGTGTTCCCTGTACCTTCACTCCTGCTCCCCAGTTCACTGGGTCCAAGATTCATCCTCATGCCCTTTACTGAACCCGAGGAAGTGGGAGCAAAAGTTTTGGTGCCTGAGTCTCAGGGGTGAGTGCTAAAGAGGAGAGGGGGAAGAGTATGCAGGTTCCTGCTTGCAAGCTGGCACTGGGAGATGGGGTGGGGATCCACTGAGAGGGTAGGGCCCAGGAAGGGGGAAGATGAGCAAACCTGTGCCTGTTACCACCTGCTTAAGTAAACATGCAGGCAAGCTCATTGATGGCAAGCCAGGGGAGGGATCGAGGGTGCTCTGACAGGAAAGCAGAGGGGTCAGGGTAAGCAGAACAATCAGTGCAGTGAGGGAAGGGTCAAAGACTGGAGCTCTGTAAGGGGGTCATGAGTTCCTTCTGACAGGGAAGCAGAATGGCAGCAATGAATGGAAACTGCTAAACCCCAGAGGAGGGTGTTTAGAGAACTAGAAGAGGGCCTTCAGGGAAAAGGGAGGACGTGCCAATGTGGCCAGACAGAGCCCACACAAAACACAGACTGGGGGTGCTCAACTGGTCTGATGGCCTGGATGGTAGCAGAGGCTGACCCAGAGATCCCAACACTAATTCCAGAGGTACTGTTCTGGAAAATGCTCTGATGTGGAACAGCTCCCCACCAGGCCTCGTCCCACTCCCTTAACCCCTACCCCCCGGAGAGAGGGCAGAACACAGAACATGAGAAGTCCTTTAATCAAACACTGCTGTGAGACTGGGGCAGAGAGGGGGCAAAACAAAGGGCAGAGGATGCCCTGGTGGAGGCAGAACAAGAGGCAACAAGCTTGGCCATAGCTCGCCGGCCTTGGAGGTTAACAGTTGCTCCTCTTGCATGAAGATACTGGGCTCAACCTGTAAAACAGCAGAATCAGGGAAGAGCCTCAAGCCAGGGCCAGCCCACAGCCCTGCTCAACAGCCAACGTTGTGGGAAGGGGTATGCAGTGTGTAACACTCACTTCAAACTATCTGGAACTTGTCAGCCAGGTACCGCATGGAGGCTGCAACAGGGAGAGGCATAAACAGGTGCTCCAGACAGATGGACACAGAAGCCTGTGCCCCTGTCCCCGTGGGGAACCACCTAGCCCTGCAACCTGAAACCCACATACCCTCAGCCCCGATGCAAAGAGCTCTGGGCCTGATCACTCCCCACCAATGGAATTAAATGTAGAGCCATTTCCTAAAAGGAGACAAAATGTGCCAGCAGCTCTAAAGCTTGGGGCCACGCCCAAACCATTCAAAAACTGTCTCGCAACAAGACCCTTAGAGGGCACACCAGACCAACAAGGCATCTCTACAAGTCCTATCAGAAGGAGCTCTCTAGGACTCGTCTGGCTGGCAGAGTGTGTATACAGTCCACACAGTACTTTGCTACTTGTCCACACGCCCAGCTGAACATGCACCACACAATCCAGGGACAGGCTTCATAGGTTCTCCCCGCCACAGGAATGCTGATCCCTATAAGGCCCCCAACACCTGCAGCCCACCCCGCCCCAAGGGCCCACCCCGATTCTGCACTAAGAGCCCGCTGCTCTCTGTCCCTGGTTCCTCATACCAAGTTGCTCCTTAAGGTCGTCTATTTCTCTCTGTAGCACCAGAGACTAGGCCAGCAGACGCAGGAGGAAGAGAAATGGTTAGTATACACCCGCCTCCCCTCTCCTCNCACCGCTGGGTTCTCCATGATGCACCCATGGACAAGATGGCCCTGGCCTGTCAGTGGTCAGCTAAAAACAAAGATTTCTCACTGATCTGGAATAAGGATGTGTGTGTGCACACGAGCGTGTGTACCAGTGCATTTATATGTCTATGTCTGTCTGTGTGAGAGCTCATGTGATTCAAGACCGAGCTGAGGCAGGGAATTGGAAACAGAATTGAAAGGCTGATCTCTTCAGCACATTCTCTGTCAGTCAGCCCCAGGCCAGCAGGCCGAGCTGAGTTGGGAACAACAGTGTGGCACTGAGAAAGCCTGGGGCCCCTGCAAGGAAGGTTTGGGGAACAGCTAGGAAGTAGGATTCAGGAAAGTGATGCGTCTAAGCACCGAAGCCCTGTGAAGATTTTAAGGGGTCCTCTCAAATCCATTCAGCTACCAGCTCTCCCTTCCATTCCAGCCCCAGCCTCGTGGAGGAGGCTGGAAACAGGCCAAGGGTGGAGAACCGACCCCAGCATGCCCAAATTGCTACCTTAACGTTTGTCCTTAGTGAAAGGATCCCAATCTGGCATCTTAATGACCCAGTGACCGAGGGCCACACAATGACGACCCCTGAGGGATGGAGAGAGGGGCACAGGGTGAAGACCTGTGTCCTGGGGAGGTTGGGAGAGGGAAGAGTGGGGAGAGAGGAGGGGCCTGGCCTACTCACTTGGCGCTTTGGGAATGGGTCTCTATTTGGGTCGTTGTCTTTTCCGGACACCGCCATTGCTGCCACCGACTCCCGGGCACGTCTCGCCACGGATTTCTTCCCAGCGCCGGTGTGTTTGGACTCCTCGGCTCCCCAAGGGACAAAGACATACTTCTTGGACCTCCAGAGTAGCGGGATACTGGAGATTAGGGGGAAGGTGGCCGGTTCCAGGGGAGTGGCCGAGATTCCCTGCCCCCAGAGCTCGCCGTCACGCACCCTCTGCACCACGAGCAGGAGATGGCCTCAAATGACGCGAGGCTTTCAGGGTGCTAGAGCTACCACCTCCTCATTGGTCCTGTTCCTGCCAACCAGCACGCGCCTTGTTTGGCCGTCCCCTCGAGGTGTAACCAATGGGGTCGAGGGCCTCCTCTGGCTTGCTGCCAAGCCCAAGGGCCATCCCGGCAGTTGGCAAGTTGGCAGGTGAAGGTGATGCTGCGAGTATACCTCTGTCAAGCCTAGTGATTAGCAGCCTCTTACAGGTGAGGAAACAGGTACTGAGAGGTTCAGCCACTGGCCCACGGTCATTTGGCCCATGGGGATCAGTGGTAGAATTGAAGCCAAGCAATCAGGCTCCAGAGTCCTTCGTTTGATGAAAAGATCAAAAAAGCTATGTTTTCCCCTCTATCAGGAAGTCCACTGCCTGGCACATCTTCTAAAAGTGAGGGTTTATTTCTAAGGTCTCTATTTTACTCCCTTGGTCTATTTGTTAACATGGCAGTAACACACAGTTTTCATTAGTGTAGCTTTGTAATGTTTTGAAATCAGGAAGTGTGAGTTCTCTACTTTTTCTTTGTCCAAATTGTTTTCCCTATTAAGGATCTCTTTAGATTGTACTTAAGTTTTAGGACGAGTTTTTCTATTTCTGTAAAGCATGCTATTGGGACTTTGATAGGGTTTGCATTGGATCTGTAGATCACTCTGGGTAGTGTGTTAGAAGAACAGATCCAGTGGAGTGATTGTGTGTGTGTGTGTGTGTGTGTGTGTGTGTGTGTAAAAGAATTGACTAATTCAATTATAGCGGCTGGTAAGTCCCAGGATCTAGAGGGTGAGTTGGCTAGCTGGAGACCCAGAGGAGCCAGTGGTTTCGCTCTTGTCCAGGTTAGAAGGCCTAAGAACCAAACCAGTAGAGTTGATATTTCAGTTTGGGTCTAAAGGCAGGAAAAGAAGCCGATGTCCCAGGTCCAAAGGCTTTCACACAGGAGCAATTCTCTTACATGAGGAAAGGTTGCTTTTTTGTTTTAGTCAGACTATCAACTGATTAGGTAAAGCCCACCCACATTATCGGAGGAAATCTGTTTTATCCATTTGACTGATTAAATGTTAATTTCATGGAAAAGCACTCTACTGAAACACCCAGAATAATGTTTGACTAAATATCTAGGCATTCTGTGGACCAGTCAAGCTGACACATAAAATTAAGCACCTCAGATAGCATGGACTTCTTAACAATATTTAGTATTCTGGTCTGTGCAGACAGATGCCTTTCCATTTATTTGTGTCTTTTTTAGTTTCTTTCAGCAATGTTTTGTAGTTTGCAGTGTTCAAGTCTTNGGCAGGGCTGTCCTCGGGTAATGCTTCTTCTGGCTCCTGGAAATACACACTCAAACCCCATGGTGGGATCTGGGTCCAAGTGCAACTGACATGTGTGAGCCCCCCACCCCCATCCCATCCTGCACCCCAGGGAGGGAGCCCACCTCCTTTCCACTGAGGAAAGTCTTTTGCTTGCCAGTCTGGACACCTGGCTTTGGGATGGAGGGCCCGGGGGAGAGGAGAGGAGGGGCAGAGGGGAGGCGGGTGTATACTAACCATTTCTCTTCTTCCTGTGTCTGTTGGCCTAGTGTCTGTTGCTACAGAGAGAAATAGATGACCTAAAGAAGCAACTTGGTATGAGGAACCAGGGACAGAGAGAAGCGGGTTCTTAGTGCAGAATCAGGGTGGGCCCTTGGGGTGGGGTGGGCTGCAGGTGCAGGGGGCCTTGTAGGGATCAGCATTCCTGTGGGGAGGAGAACCTATGAAGCCTGTCCCTGGAGTGTGTGGTGCATATTCAGCTGGGCATGCGGACAAGTAGCAAAGTAGTGTGCGGACTGCATGCACACTCTGCCAGCCAGATGAGTCCTAGAGAGCTCCTTCTGATAGGACTTGTAGAGATGCCTTGTTGATCTGGTTTGGCCTCTAAGGGTGTTGTTGGATTGTTTGCGAGACAATTTTGGAAAGGTTCGGGCATGGCCCCGAGCTTGAGAGCTGCTGGCACATTTTGTTTCCTTTTAGGAAATGGCTCCACATTTAATTCAGGTAGTGGGGAGTGATCAGGCCCAGAGCTCTTTGCATCGGGGCTTTGGGTATGTGGGTTTCAGGTTCAGGCGTCTTATGTCCGTGTGTCTGGAGCACCTGTTTATGCCTCTCCCTGTTGCAGCCTCCAAGTCGCACCCTGGCTGACAAGTTCCAGATCATTTGAAGTGAGTGTTACACACTGCATACCTCTTCCCACAACGTTGGCTGTTGAGCAGGGCTGTGGGCTGGCCCTGGCTTGAGGCTCTTCCCTGACTCTGCTGTTTTACAGGTTGAGCCCAGTATCTTCCTGTAAGAGGAGCAGCTGCTACCTCTGGGGCTGGCGAGCTGCGGCCAGGCTTGTTGCCTCTTGTTCTGCCTCCGCCAGGGCATCCTCTGCCCCTTGTTTTGCCCCCTCTCTGCCCCAGTTTCACAGCAGTTTTTGATTCATGGAATTCTCATATTCTGTGTTCTGCCCTCTCTCTGGGGGGCAGGGTTTGGGGGAGTGGGGCAAGGCCTGGTGGAGAGCCACTCCATATTAGAGCTTGTTGCAGAACAGTACCTCTGGCATCCTGTGGTGGGAACTCTGGGTCAGCCTCTGCTACCATCCGGGCCAGCAGGGCAACGGAGTGCTCCCAGTCTGGGTTCACTGAGGGCCTTGTCTGGCCACATTGACCCATCCTCCCATTCCCCTAAAGGCCCTCTTCTAGTTCTCTAAGCACCCTCCTCTGGGATTTGCCGGTTCCCATCCATTGCTGACATTTCTGCCTCCCCATTGGAAGGAACTCTTGACCCCCTTACAGAGCTCCAACCCATCCTCCCAGCCGCTCTGGACTCATTGTTCTACTTACCCTGACCACTCTCTTTTCCTGTTGGAGCACCCTCGATCCCTCACCTGACGTGCCATTGGTGACCTTGGGTGCATGTGTAGTTCAGCAGGTGGAAACAGGAACAGGTGCACTCATCTCTCCCTTCCCAAGCTCTGCCCTCTCATTGGATTCCCTACTGCCTGTACCGTCTCCACCCGCACCCCAGTCCCACCTTGCATGCTGGAACCTGCACACAGTCCTCCTCTCCTCTTTAGCCCTCACCCCTGAGACTCAGGCACCAATAGGTTCGCTTCTCCTTCTTTGGATTCAGTAAAGGGCTTGGGCATGAAGCCTGGACCCAGTGAGCTGGGGAGCCTGAGGGAAGATACAGGGAAGACAGGAGACAGGCTAGTCGCTGGGCTGGAGGTCAGGTGATGCATCTGTTTGGTGGCAACCTGGATCAGATTGCACCCTGGCAGCTAGAGATGGATGGGTTTTCACATCCTCCCTGCCCTAGCCAGCTGACCACCCTCACCTCCAGCCTGAGCCTCTCTTTACCCTTGAGTGGAAATGGGCCCATCATGCTCTATGGCAAGTGTGGTTAGTAGGTCTCTCTTCTTGCAGGGTCCATGTCAAATACTGTTCCACCAGACCCATGACACAGATCTTCCAACAAATGATATTTCCCAGAGTATCCCAGCTCAGTATCCCAGACTAATTTTTTAGGGCACATAACAATGAGTCTGAACTCTTTGTTCAATTACCCCTCGCTGGAATTTGGGGAGCACTTCCTTTCCCTCAGCCAGCACTCCAGGACTGTG